TTAAATAATGTTATCGAGACTTGGTTAAGCAACAAAAAGGTTCGAGCAATTACGTGGGTTGGGTTGTGATGAACGAATGATAGTTAATAATTGATGCAAGATAGGTCTTGAGCTGGTGGAAATAAGAATCGGTCAGTAAATAGATACTCATTATCTTGATCGCTTTCTGCAGATACCAAAATTAGCATCTTCCTGGTCTAAGCAACTGCAAGTCTTCGGATATACAGAGGATATTATATAAGGCGCTGTATGACGTGATATGTTTTAGGTGAAGTACCAACATGATCTCAAAAAGTTAAGAAGAGGAAAGAGCAGGGGGAAAAACAGTAAATGATCCAAATGCTAGGCTACTTCTAGTACGCCGAAAATCAATTCCAATATACTGCAGCGAAATTGCTATTCAGTAAACGCTAGAAAAATTGCACTCCGAAAAAGTATATAAAGTATTAAAATACTAAAAAACAAATGGAGAATGCGCTGATAGATCTCTCTAATTCTGACAGACTGAAAAGCGTAGACCCATTAACATTATCTTACTCCAAGTAGTGAGGTAATTTATTAGGGGTTTATCGCATACTGTACAATGATTTTGGTTTCGCCGTGTCTTATCGTCCCCTAGAGTTAAGAACCTATCGGGTATCTAGACATATTAAGATAACCCAAGAAGCGATTTTCAGTTTAGAGTTTCGCTTACCATATCTAAAACTGAATTACTGGAATTTTCTATCACAACACGTATCATCGGTAACTGCTGTTGCTAAATTCAAAGATGTACAGGATGTTCACAAAACTACAGACGGTAAGGAATAGTGAAGATCGATAAAATTTCTTTTCCTAATACCAAGAAACAAACGCTTAAACTGAAATATCTGATTAACGATAACTGAGGTATGTGTTTTGTTTTAGTGTGTCAAATAGTTTGGACTCTCAACCCGCATAAACTAGATTGGGTTTCACATATGGACTAATCAAATGAATTCGTAAGTTTTAGATTTTCTAACAAATGTACTGGTTGTATTCTAGAGCATTATTCAGTCTAAAAGCTATCATACTTTTTCTTCACTCTGTGAATTAAAATTGTTGTATAATATATATTTTTAGTTTTAAGACTAAATTGTTGAAAAGTAGTTTCCTCTATTGTAAAGATTTGATTAGAAAGCCAACTGACGTTTTCTACAAATACCTATCTTCCTTATTCTATCTAAAACAACTGACAAGCGCTCTTATGATTTGTAAGTTTTTAAACCCGGTTATATTATCTTTATGCTTAGCAGCACATCCTGAGTGTGTCGGTTCTTAGCGTGTATTGCCACTCATACAGACAGATATTTTCAATGTATGTGAAACTCGAAAGCTTTTAAAGTGGTTTTCTTGACTTCTGCTCTTAGTTTTCAGAATATTATTTTTATGTCAATGATTGGATAGCTATTAATCCATAACATTAGTTGACATAACAGTCTCATGCGTTAATTTTAACAACCGCAATTTACCGAACCTATGTGTTAAAAATCATTTTATTTACCGGGATAAATCAGAAATACTTGCACATTTTCAAGAAATAACTTATCGTCATCTTGATTTCAGTTACGACATGGTTTTTGGTGTTTCCATAAATCTTTCATCAGCAATATTCTATAAAGAAAAATAAAATTAGTTATCCGTTTCACGAATGTACCAATGAAGTTTTTTGTCTATTATAGTAACCAAGCAACTGTCTAAAGTGAAAAAATACTTGAGCCTTCAAATGCAAGCTTCCAAAGCCTACAGTGACGTGTGAAAAATGCGTAAAGCTATTGTAAACTTCTAGTCGTGATAAAAAAACATACACTTATTTGCCGAGCTATTATGGAATCAGATCAAAAATATCAAAATATAGAGTGAACATTAATTTTAAGATGAATTTTTAACCAAACTTAATAAGCACATATACGAGACGTTTACAACCCAAGCGTGAATTGACCACCTAAGTTAGGCTATATTTCATAATTAGGAATTTTAGACACAGACATTTCATCATAATTTAGCTGCAGTTGTTCTGAAGCCAGACTTTGAGGTACTCAAGAGATTTTATTTAGGCTCCTGAATCCAAATATTTCTGTTCCACATTGTATCAGCAGCTAAGCACACCTGACGGATGTTATTTCAGGAAAAACCATTCTCAATAGGTCTAGAATTTCTTTGACCATTCTAACGGTAATATCTGCTTCCTTCTTTTTTGCTTTTACAATCTGATCAAGCCTTTCTCTCACTGAAAGAAGTTTAGACAAGAAAATCTCCATATCCACGCTTTCTAAACATGATTTAGTAAAGTTAGAATGCATAACTATACCGCTGGCTGCTGTAACTACAGAACTCTTGTAAACAAACAAAGTATTTTCATGCTTTAACTGTGCAGCTTTATCGCTGACTATATCTTTCGGAAGTGTAGTGATGCGCATTCGCTTATATTTCTTTGTTACGACCAAGCTATACTTTTCCTCAAATTCGTATTGTAACCTCTTTAAACGTCTGTAGAATCTCAATCGACCACAGCATAAGAAGTTTGGTACTTTGTTGTGTTTCACTACGTTTCTCATTATTTAACTAAAAATAAAAGTGAACTATAGATATGTTCAACTGCAAGGTTAATCAAAGATTGTGATAGCGAAAATCAAGATATTCGTAGGTTACTGGTTTTCGATCATAGGTGTCTTAGAAGCATTGCTCGTATATCCTGGGACACCCGAGTGAGCAACGCTGTTATTAGGAAGCGGGTGCTAGCTAACGATGGCAGATCAATGGATGAAGTAATGAAACTTCATCAGTTGAGGTGATTGGGACATGTGCTGCGTATGCCTAACCACCGACTGCCTCGACGAGCTTTGTTTTGTAGTGAAGGACTAAGTTGGAAGAAAGTTAAGGGGGCGGCCAAACCAAAAGATGGCAGAAATCCATGTAGTCATTGACGAGTGGACTTAGCCATGTCGGTAATTGTCGACTACCTGGTTGGGGTCCGCGAGATGATAATAATCGATGGTTAGAGACTTTGAATGACATGGCTCAAAATCGTTGGCAATGACGCCGGTGCATTTATTCTTTGTGTTCTCTCAAATCCTAATCTTCTGGGTTCTTCAACAACTCTAGTTTTGTCTTTCTAAACTTTTCTCACTGAATCATACTTCTTGAATAATATCTTCTAATCTTAACCTCTCCGATTACTTCTAATATCTTTACTACCTCTTCTACTATTGGATTTGAATTGACAATTACATCTCTGTGCTGATGTGTTATGGTGACATGAACTGCTGTACTTACGTACGAAGTTCTACATTGCATCTGACTGACTGACTGACAAGTGATCTGTCAGATATTATAAGTCATAATATTTTTTGCCTTGCTTAAACTTCAAAAGCACTTAACATTTAGAAAATGATTAGTTTTTTGGTTTATAAAACCTCTTTAGATAAATTTGTGTTACTTTAAAACTATTGAAGACCAATAAAGCCTCTGATGTTTGTCAGAAATGATCTAAAATGATGAAATCTTGACAGTAATCGAATCATTTTACTCTTGCTGCTTAATATGAGATCCCACCCAGTTGAACAGAAGAATTTTTCACCATCGTTATCCTCACATTTTTCAACAAGTAAATCATCAAGTTATTTTAATGATGACATATAATACCTCATTTGTACATTTTCTATTGTAGATCTATAACTTTTATTGAATTCATCTTGTTCATATTCTCCTTCTATACACAAACTGAATCTTGTAAACCAAATGCTGATGGACAATTTACAAGTTTAGAATTAGGCAGTGCATCGAATGTTACCTCTGTAGTTGGAAGTGATGTCTATTTTATTTGTTGTGGTGGTTTAAGATGGACATATGAAGTAGAAGATGATTATACAAGTCGAGAGATTGGATCACATCCATACGCATCAATTGGTTCAGTAAAATTACCAACTAATAATAATAATAATAATAATCTCCAATCAAGTATCAGTGCAATGAATATGAATAGTCATTTCAAAGATTCATCACATTTACAACAACAAACAATACCGACTACAGTGTATACAATGCATGATGATAAAGGTCGACTAATATTACGTATAGATAATGTTGATCTACAAGATATGGGACATTATAAATGTCATGGACAAACGACAAGTTTAGATGTTTATTTAGTAGTAGTTAATAAAAATTATCCAGAAGAACCACATAATAAAACATTACCACGAAGTGGAAGTATGCTATCACATTATATGATGTTTTCATCGGATCAATTAAATAATGTAAGTATAAAATTAATTGTGATTAGTGCAAAATGTTATTTGATGTTGTTTAAAGAAAGTTAGTTGTGTTGTTATAGATGTTACTTTTGGTTTCTACATATTCAGTAACAGCTTTGGAGATTTGTGTTTTTACACATTTGAAATCATCAATCAATCATTGTTAGATCACCATTAGAAACCTGGAAGCACTGAAAGAAGGAAGTCTCGTCCTGGTATGGGACTACTCATCAGCAGTGCGCATCCACGACTCCTGCATCTAGCAGGATTCGAATCCGGGATCTTTGGTATTGTGCGCGAACACCTAACCATCGGACCATTGGACTGGTATCCAACGGTGTTAATGTCTAACTCTGATTGATCTACGAATTTTGCGAGACCTCACCCATTTGTCTTTGGTAGTTACTGCCTACACCCGACAGGGTTGAACTCCATTGGTCACTTCTTCTAACTAGAACTCCGAGAATTTCCTCACGAAGCAAGTCACTAGTGAGCACATGTTACGATATTTTCAGTTAGAGCTTTGGAGGTTTGTGTTTGTACACATTTGAAATCATCAATGATGATGAGTCCAGTGCCAAGACGAAACGGCCTTCCAGTGCTTGCAGTTTTCTAATGGTGGTCTAACAATGGTTGATTGATGATTTCAAATGTTTATAAATCAATCATTGTGTTAGACCACAATTAAATACCAGGAAGCACTAGAGGATGGCCGTTTCTTCCCTGGTATTGGGACTACTACCCATCAGCAATGATTGATTGATGATTTCAATGTGCAACAAACGCTAATGTTCATAACTCTAATTGAAAATATCCTAAAAATGTGTTAACCAGTGACTAGACTCTAGAGGAAATTCTAGGAGTTCTAGTGAGAAGACGTGACCAGTGAAGTTCAACCCTGTCAGATGTAGGTAGTAACTACCGAAGACAAATAAGTGAGGTCGCGCAAAATCTTTAGATCAGTCAGAGTTAGACATTAACATCGTTGTATGCTGGCCCAGTGGTGCAGAGGTTGAGCATTCGCGTGCAAGACTGAAGGTCCTGGATTGGCATCCAGCAAGGTTCAAGAGTCGTGAATGCGCACTGTCACTGATGAGTTCCATACTAGAACAAAACGATCGTCCAGTGCTTCCAAGTTTCTAATAGTGGTCTAATAATGATTCATTCATGATTTTAATGTGTGGAAACACTAGTCTCCATAACTCTAATTGAAAAGTACTTTTGTTCTGCTAAGGATCTCATTTAATACTCGAGAAAATCAGAAAGTAGTAATCTGTTGCTATAAGATAATCGTTAAGTGTAAAATAATGTTACATATTGTTTCATGTACTCAAAGAATAAAATTTTTACCTTTTTCAATTTATATTATACATTGTTGAGATATGTTTTCTTTCTTATATGTATATATATATATGAACATGGGTAACACCGTTGGTGTACGATAGTAGTTGTCTGCCTTTGAACAATATCAAAACGATTATGTTGGCAATTTACTGAGTTTTTTGCGTATTTAAATCATCAATCAATCATTGTTAGACCACCATTAGAAACCCAAAAGCACTGGATGGCCGTTTCGTCCTGGCATGTGACTCATTAGCAGTGCACAGTCATGACTGTTGCACCTCACAAGATTCGAAGCCAGGATCTTCGGTCTTGTCTCTGTAAACTATCTCTCTGTTGCATGTGACCTACCGATAGAAACACATTATTATCCTCCTGTTATATTAATATGACTCATAATCTTATTCATTTTTCGATAAGACACGCAATATTTGTCCGTACACACAAACAAATCAATTTTTAGAGCCAATTTATTCTTGTTCAGACTATAGCTTTCTTGCATAGACCCTATGCTCACCAGTATTAAGTTTACGGTTCTAGGTAGTATTGTAGTGAAGGAGAACTCAGGTGAGGGCAACCGAATTGTATTTAACGAAAATTACAGAGTTACTCAGTAAAATAGGAAAACCATATCGTAAACGGTTAATTTGCAAATCTTCAATCCATCATCAATCCATTGTCTGACATTTCACCACTATTCATGCGTTTCATACAAATTCCATTGTGTTCCCACTCTTCTTCCTTTCATGATCTTCCGCCATCTTCTGCTGTCACCAGACATTACGTTTACACTCACGTCATATACTACTTATAAGTAGCTCGCACCACAGTATATCTGTAGAAGACCAATTAAATCATACACCATTGTAGCTTATGCTTCCTGGGCGACTTAAAACGATCACAATCAGTGTTATGTATCAGATATGAATGACCTTCTGTAGAATTGTAGTTTATGCACTTTATGAATGACCGCACATTTACAAAAGGCTCCACATCGATGACCAACAAGTGATTGACATAATTCGAGAAGTAAAAATAAATTTGTGCCAAAAAAACATATAAGGTGGTTATAAAACTCAAAACATAAAAGAAAAATAGAGAGTCAATCAACCCATCAGTGTTGTTCAGTTACGTCATCTAGGTATCTCCAAATACTATTGACTGAAATAATCATGTGAACTTTCAGTACAGACAATCCGTATTCATCACAACAGAGTTCAAATCAACAGTAAATTTTGAAATCACTTCAATTAAATGAGCTAACTCAATAAATTAAAAATTGGCAGAATCTTTTTGTTGGGGATGTTAGATCCCCAAAAACTCGCTTGATAAATGCCTTATTTTAGTTTTCACGTTTGCCAGCATGGGCTGATCAGTTGATCTTGAGATGTCAATTCCCACCAGGAAAATCCATGGCTGTGATTGGCTGTTGTGTGTTATTTTAGTGTGCTATTTGTATGACTGTCTCAAGGACGTTTCTATGATGTATAAATAAACGAGATTTGTATGCTTGATTGTATTTTGTGATTGCTGGGTGTTTATAGAATATACTTTCTACGCTTACAAAGCCTTTTTACTTGAGCTTGGGATTCAAGGTAGCCTATCTGGACGCTGGAAATTGTCTCGTTCGCGTTTATCGACTAAGGTAAACTCATAATAACCTCAAGCATACTTAGTGACGAACATAACACCAACCATCTAACAATTCATTATAGTATATTGAATAACAAGTCATTTAAATAAGTAACTGCAGTGAAATTCAATCAACTCCTAGTGTGGTGTGAGCTACTTATAAGTAGTATATGACGTGAGTGTCAACGTAATGTCTGGTGGCAGCAGAAGATGGGGGAAGATCAAGAGAAAGGAAGAGTTAGAAGAACACAATGGAATTTGTATGAAACGCATGAATAGTGACAGTGGATTGATCATTTGCAACAGGAACAGTCCAGTTCGATATGATGAACTGATATTTTGCAAATGAATGATTTACGCGATATGGTTTTCCAATTTTACTGAGTAACTCTGTAATTTTCGTTAAATACAATCCGGTGCCCCACCTGTGTTCTCATTCACTACACTAGGTACTAGAAAAACATGAGAGTAGCTACTACTACTCAATAATGATCAATCAATTGTGTATGTGAAGTTATCTTTAAACACTTTTGTAATAATGATTTTCATTAGAGTAAATATAGTCGATTATATAATCATTATAGAAATAATGATTTCATTTTAGTTCCATTTTTTCTAGCAGGCATTATTAGTACATATGTGCAACATAATCAAGTTCAGTAATAATATATATCTGAAGATAATTTAAGTGAAAATCTCACAGCCGTTTCATTCTGGTATAGGACTGATTAGCAGTGTGCATCCACGTCTTCTTCCATTCTCAGGATTTAAAGTAACTCAACAATCTCTACAACCCTTTCATAGAAATTAACATATGATCATTAGTGACTAACTCCTTGCGGAAGTTTCTCCGAGTTCTAATGTGAACTCGTGATCAGTGGAGTTCAAAACTGTTAGGGTGTTAAGCAGTGCTCACCGAAGACAGTGAATAATGGAGTTGCGCAAAAGCTATGGATTAATTGTAGTTAGACATTAACAGCGTTAGATACCAGTTTAGTGATTCAGACGTTAGGCGTTACAGCGTAATACCGAAAATCCTGAGTTCGAATACTGCAAATACCAAGAGTCTTGGATGCGTACTGCTACTGATGAGTCCTTTACCAGAATAAAACGGCAATCCAGTTTCTAATGCTGATCTAACATTAATCGATTCATGATTATTTCAATGTAACTGAACAATCTTCACAACCCTATAATGGAAAAAGTCTGACAGTTCACACTTTTTAACATTGATAAATTGATTTTAACCACTTGATTGGTACTTGTAATCGTAAATTTTTCTTCTTAACTAAACACTTATCATCTTAGCTAGCCTTATACATATAATATATCTATGCATACCATTTAATTTTTGTAAAATACAAGTACATCCAACAACACATAAATCTTTATAGGCAGAGTTTTGGAGGTTTGTGTTTTTACACATTTGAAATCATCATTAATCCAGGTTGCTAATGGTGGTCTAATAATGATTGATTGACTGATGATTACAAATGTGTAACAGATACTAATGTTCATAACTCTAATTTCAAATATCCTAAAAATGTGTTAACCAGTGACTAGATTCTTGAGGAAATTCTAGGAGTTCTAGTGAAATGTGACCAGTGGAGTTCAACCCTGTCGACTTTAGGCAGTAACTACCAAAGACAAATAGATGAGGTCTCGCAAAATCCGTAGATCAATCATAGTTAGACATTAACACTGTTGTTTGCCGACCCAGCAGTCCGATGGTTAGGCGTTCGCGCACAAAATCGAAGGTCCCGGGTTCGAATCCTGTGAGGTGCAAGAGTCGTGGATGCTCACTGCCACTGATGAGTCCCATACCTGGACGAAACGGCTGTCCAGTGCTTCCAGGTTTCTAATAGTGGTCTAACAATGATTGATTGATGATTTCAAACACATTAATCATCTGAAAAAATCGATATGTATATATTTTTTCTCGACAGACAATTATTAGTTTTAAGCTTTTCATACATATTAAAAAGAATAAAATTGTCAGAAATATTTAAAAATTATTCAAGTAAAAATGC